GGGGGGGGACAAAGGAAGAGGGCGGCGGAGTGTAAAGATAAAGTTGTGTTGAGAACGAGGAGAGAAAGCGAGCGCGCGGAAGGAAGAGAAACGAGAAAGAGGGGGGGGGTGAGGAGGAGGGAAGCGGGGTAATTAGGGCTGTTTCCTGATTAAGAGCTCAGTGGAAGGGAGGGGCCCCCCCCAGAGGAGGTGAGGAGCGGCGCTGTGGGAGGGGCGGCCGGGAGCCCTGATAGCACACAATCGATTCATTAGCCAGACAGCGGAGGCCTTAATGAGGCCGACACCGCGCCCCCCCCGCCCCACCCCCGTCTCCCCAGCGAGAGACGGTGGCGCTCCGAAGAGGAGGAGGAGGAGGAGGAGGAGGGCGCTTCGGATTCTCACGAAACCTGCTCAGACACAGATCCAGAAGCGGAAAACACACACACACACTCTGATAACACCCCCCCCCCCCCCGGAGGTGAACGTACGACGGGAGGAAAACACACATCCACGGCATCCAATTACACCTTCCCTCTTCGTCCCACCGCTTAGTATCTGTTTTATTCGGGTGGGACAAAGGCCCTAATCTCCCAGAGACCGTTCTCCGGACACCAGGTGATGCTCCAGCCTCGCTGTGAGGAAGAGGAGGAGGAGGAGGAAGAGGAAGAAGAGGAGGGGGGACTAATTAACAGCATGCAATTACCCTGTCATCAGAAGCCGACGCGTTCCTTTCAGATTTGACGCAACCCGTTTCTGTTTTTTTTTTTTTTTTCCCCCTTCCACCAGATTCCGTTTTTTTGGTTTTTTTTTCTCCATCTCCACCTGCCTGCTGCCTCCAAACGGCTAAATCTTTTTTGATAAGCTATTGATTTTTTTTTTTTTTTTTATTAACCGAGCCGCTCTCTCATAAACTCTCATATTATTTCAGGGTGGACTTTTCGGACTTCTTTGCGGAGATTTGAATCGAATCCGCACCGCTCTCGTGTTTTTTTTTTGGGTCCAAATGTGAATCTAGAAACGCCCGTAGGCTGAAAAACCAGGAGAAACAGCAAGCCCTGAGAATGCCTAACAAGCCCCCTCGAATCTCCCTAATTAATAGGCCGCGACTTGTTTGTTTGATCCCAGAGATGCCGGCGTGTGGAAATAACAAAGTGCATTGTGATTCCTGATCTGAGGCGGTTGCCCGGCAACACAGGACGTCGCCGGTTGCTACCGGGCCTGACCGAAAAGCGGGGTGGCACGCAAAAAAAAAAACAAATGGGATGTGATCAGGTCAGGTAATGAGCTTTGGACGGTGTGTCCGATAAGTTAACCATCATTACTATGCAGAATGAGTGCTATAAATCTGTTCCTCCAGCTATTGACAGTTAGGCCAATAAGAAAAAAAAAACCTCAAATGAATTTGTGGAACCCATTTTTTTGCTTCTCATATCCAGAACCCAGAGCTCTCTGCTTCTGTACAGCGTATATCCCAGACATTTACACCAAACAGGCACATTTTTTTAAAAGTTCCTTTATCTTATTTTACCCTTTCGACATATACGTTATGTATCGGGACTCCGTCAACACAGAGAAAGAAAACCAAGGTAACACAGGTGTGGGAAAACTTTTTTTCTTTTTTAAATCTTTCTTTTTTTATTTAATGAGTGACCCTTTTTTTTATCCTCGGTGATGGTGTCAGGCAGAGGGCGTTTCAGTGTATAAACAAGAATATAGGGGAAGAGCTCCCTCGTCCACTGTTTGTCGTTTCTATTTTATTCCCCCTTTTTACGGAGTAGTAGTAAGTGTACCTTGACCTGTTTTCAGTCTTTATGGTGTGGTATTAAACTCTTATTTCTGTCGAGTTTGTGCACAGCAGGCAGTGGATCCAACACGAGGCTTTGGGGATCCCAGAGGTTCCGCTTTTAACTGCATGTTTCGTCCAATCGAAGCCCTGCTTCTGACAGAATGAAAGTCCAATCGTCTTCACTGACAGAGGTGAATGCTCTCACCACAACCGTCTTACCCAAAAACCCGTTTTACGTCGCAGTTTTAGCGGAGATGTGTAAAAAAATGAGCGATATTCACCCGTCGCTCCAGAGATAAATCAACCCAAGGAGGGACTTTTTTCAGACAGCTGCGAGGAATCTGGGGGGGGGGATCTGTACAGTCTCATGCCTTTGCCGGCCTCATTTTCTCTCCGACGTCCCATTTCTTTCACCGGGTAACATCTCTTTCCCCCCCTTTGCCTGTGGTACCTGTTCGAACGATGTAAAATACTGTTTTTGTTTCTTTGTTTTTCAAACTCATGGTAAGTTTTCTCTTTTAAAAAGCCAAGGAACTTTTGTTTTTTTAATGCACTGTGTCTTCCCTGATGCGTTTCCTTTGTGCTGTACAAGAAATACTGTCTGTGGAAAATAAAACCAAACTTGTGTTCATCCTTTCATGAGTCTGCTGACTCCGTTACTTTACAGTAGCAAACAAACAAGTGTCTAATATTTGTTTATATGTTCATTCATTACATTTTTTGCTCCCTTTTTACCTTTAGATCCAGTCTCTTCTAAACTGTGGCATGTGTTTGCTTGTCTGTTCTCTTTCTGACTTTTTATTTTGACCAATCAGCATTCACCTGTTGTTAACGTTGATCTCCTCAAATGGACTTGTAAATGGAACCATAGAGGTAAGTATTTTTACTTATAGTATTACTACTTTACTTATACTTTACTTATACTACTACTCGATAGATATCTTCCCACATTTTTGTAATAAAACAAACTATCTGATGCACTAATGCTATAAATATGTAGCATTTCTTCTCTCCTGGGACTTAAAAGGATCCCACTAATCTTTTTGCATGCATTTACACAGTTCTTAAAAGTCCCGCAAAGATATGGAAACAAAAAAAAAGTCTGCTTCTATCCATAAAAAAACTCTGAAGTACTGAAGGTCTGCGCTGGCTAAGTGTCAGTCAACCAGTCAAAAATATTAGCATTTCTGAACCATTTTGAAGAGTGAAGTGATTTCCCTGGAACTTAAATTATGCCCTGCTCCCTGCGGTGGAAACTTACTTAATTTCTTCCGTGTTCTTTATCTCTGCACAAAGTTCCCGCGGTGTCTGCTGAGACTCTTTGCTCCGCTCTTGAAAGCCGCTAATGAAATGAAACTCATTATAAAAAAAGGACTTGCTCAATCAATTGGAGCTTACAACACAAACCCCTCTCATCCAGAACTGACGGCTGCAGATCCTCGGTCTATCCCCCTTCATTTAGGATTCGGAAATAAAAAGGCCACGCAACCAAAGGGGAAATCTTTATTTGCAATGTGGTGACAACCGGCGTTGTCCAGTTTTAATGGCACACAGTGACGGTTGCCACAGTAACAAAAAAAAACAACAACTGTTAATACAGTCTTATTCGCAAGAAAACATAACACTGACAAGACAGTTAAAAGAAAAGAAAAAGAACGTTGATTCCTACAGTGTGTCCAGTGTTGGAGGTCTCTCAGACAAATATCAAATAAGGCAGATCGAACGGCTGATTTACACAGATTTTCTTATCTTTTTATAATCCGTAAAGTGTTGGTCTGAAATCTAAAACACATAATGATGTATGCCACATGTCTTTAAGCAATCCATTTCACCTGGAAACCCATTCTTAAGAGTTTGTGCTGTGTCCCAGCGAGGGGGGGTGGACCAAAGCTACGTAGCCAGGTCAAAGGTCAGGTGAGCGATTTGTGTCTTTACCAAGTCTCATTTAACCAAACTATGCAAAAAAAGAAAAGAAAAAAAAACCTTTGGACACGAGTCAGTGCCATGACTGAATACCAAGCAGCATCTTTTTTTTTCATTGTTTGTCCCAAACCCCCTTCACAAAAAAAAAGATACATTTTAAATGTTATTAGCAAAAGAAGCTAAACACAGTGTCCACAGGTTGGCCCAGAATCAGCTAATTCCAGGCAGAAGATAAAAAATACTTGCGTTCTCCTTTTCCCTCGCACACTTAAAGCTTTTTCTAAGCCGAGCTTTCTCCATGACTGTCAATCATTGTGGAACTCTTGGGCGTTATTGCTGTAATAATCCATCCCACAGCCCGCCTTCATCTGGCCACAATCCCCCTGCACAGAAACTCAAAACGGCATTATCCGGAGCAGCGGTGGTGAAGGAGGCCTTGGGTTCAAATCCCACGACGTTTTTCGCATCCAGCAAAGCAGACGTTTTGCTAAAAGAAGGAAAGTTGTCATCGCAGGAAAAGCGGAGGCAGCTTGCCTTCCGCACCTGTCAGTTCCCGTCGAAACGTTTCTAAGATGCTGTCTGACGC